GCAGCACATATATATGACATTTGTATGTTCCTATTGTTGTAGCTTCAGCTGTTTTCACACAAGCTGGCACTACTGCCCCTCCAAGCAATCCTGCTGAGGAAAAACTGAAGAAGTTAATATAAATCGGTGAAGTCGACGAGTGTTATGGAAAGCAGTACTGCTGGAATCTGATCTACATGATTTTTCAAGAAGCAGCATAAGCCGTATAAAGTTATCCTCCGACTGTGTTTACGTCTGCAATATCTATTCCTATGGGGGCAAGTAACCCGATGAAAAGCGTGCATTTGTCTGGTTATATATGTTTGCTTTTATCTGTTTGTTTCCGCATCTCTATAAACTATTAATACATCATCATTTGTCTATATTCTTGTATTCGCTGTGTCCCTCTGGCTGCGCATCTCTTCTGTGGCAGCGGTGTGCTTGTTCGCGACTGAAAAACAAGGAAAGCTGGTTGAGTTGTGCTGGAAATAGACAAATTAGTATGGAAACCATTAGACTAATTTTCGGGGGTACTAATGTGACACTAACGGCAAATCACAAACGGCTATGCAGTTGTTCATATTCTTAATTTTCTTTTTCGTGGTCTTTCTGTTGTATGGCTTCTGAGAATCTGTGGACATTAAGTAATTTTAGATATCAATTCAATTCTTTTGATATGAATTTCTTTGTTTCAGTATCTAGTGCAGCTTTCTGCACCAATATACCGTTCGTCTGCCTAGCAGAGATGTACACAGATAAATAGTGATATTCACTGACAAACAAGAGTAGGATCATAATAACAAGTTGGAAGGAAAACCGCAACCGCCATGCGAGGTGGAAATGCCTCAGAATGTAAAGTTTACACTCTGATACTTCTTCATAGATTCGCTGCTTTTCACCTCAATGCTCTATCGAGCATGGTGCTCGGAGCAGCAACTACAGTTAGGCTAATCACGCAGCAAGTGAACCTTCGCATACTGAGGCAAACAACGGCGATTTCGACAGCTATCCGCTCTGCATACGGACGGACGGATAAGGGGAATAACTAGGTAGCTAGCTAGCTAGCTAGCTAGCTAGGCCCCGGAAATCTGCCTGACTAGGCAGAGATAGCTGCCACGACGGCGACCAAACCGGCAGTTAGAATGCTGGGAAAGGCAGCACTTGCAGAGCTGGTTACAATAGGATCCTTGAGATCATCTTTCGTCATACTTTTTAATTTATCTTGTCGTGCAATAAGCTCGTTGAAGTACTCCTCGCTGCATGAAAGACGAAACAAACAGACAGAAACGAAGAATACATTTCCAGTTGCTGAAGCTGTGCAAGTCTAAATCCTTGAGTAAGAACCATCTAAACATTCAAATCCAAAAAACCAAGCGTACCTGAAGGCGGCCTG